CTTCAGTACTACTGCATGTATTACCACAAATATTGAGTAGAGACCAAAAGGTTTACATAAGAAGAGAAACATGTTTTTCCTTCACTACTGCATGTATTACTTAAGCTTTGCGTTGTAGTTGCAAGAGGGCGCTGTGACACTGCTACTAGGTGTTTGTTTTACTACGTATGAAGCCAATGTAACACATTTTACAGAACTATATGATGTCCTAGTTGGTACATGCCAAGAAGAACAGAAATGTAGGGAGAGAAATTAAGTTGATTATGTACCAATCCACTCTGGTAGATATGATGACATGAATGTGTAATTTATGGAAGCAAATGTGAAATGTTTTCAACATAAACAGCCCACAAATAGCAGTACACGCAATACTGTGACATTTAAAACGTTATCAGTCCTAGAGGAAGGGACAGAATAAAATCCTTCATACAAAAAAACCCACGTGAGTGAGTGAGTGAGTGAGTGAGTGAGTGAGTGAGTGAGTGAGTGAGTGAGTGAGTGAGTGAGTGAGTGAGTGAGTGAGTGAGTGATCTTGGGTAGCTAGCGGACTAAAGCTAACTAGAGTTCCACGATCTCATATATACCTTCGCCAAATGATGATCCTCAATTGCATGAATTATATCAGTCTGTTGATCATATTCTCCACCAAAAGACAGTATTATCTTAACAAAGAATGCCATTTTCTCATAAATTATGCAAATGTGGTCCTTATTTGAATAAGTTATGTTTAATTATGTTCACCTTCACTAAACTTTCCAACACCCCAAGTATGAAATTCCAGGCAGTTACCACTACGCAATTATAACATTTTTTCATTAATTACGCAAATTAAGTCTTCATTTGCATAATCAATATTTGCCTGTGTTTCTCTCGTTCTTAATAACATATGTTACAAGCTTGAACTTCCTATCATGGAATGCAGCTGATTTATAGAATTTCCTCATTAATTATGCAAATTACATCAATATTCGCATAATTGTAATATCATTATGTCAAGCATCACTTAAGCTACCTACGTACCAAAAATCATGATGATCCATCAATCGGTTCTTGAGTTATCCTCTTTTAAACATTTGTCCTTTAAACCCCCCTGCAGTTCTAGAGCAAGCCGCTAGGGGCCCCGGGGCCTAATCTCACGTCACTTCTTCCCCAGCACAAGAGCTACCTACCATTCAAATTTCATCACCATAGCATGTCTGGATCTTGAGATATCAAAACCGGAAGTTCAGCTGCAGTACCATAACAAGCCGCTAGGGGGTCCAAAATCTAATCATTTTGAGGTCTCATCAAGACCTACCCATCTACCAAGTATCAAGACAATCCATCAAGGCCTTTTCAAGTTATCGTGTTGACAGACAGACAGACACACACACACATACACGAACGCCCCTGAAAACATAACCTTCTTGGCGAAGGTAACAAGGCTGGACACCAGGCTACAATGTAACAACCAACAACACCAACAAGTCTTTTATTCGTCATGAAAACAGCAACAAGAAGCCATAGGTGACAATCCTCCGTGAAGTTTGATATATTTCAACAAAAACAATCCCAAGCGTCAACGCCAGACCTACTGTGCAGACATTATAATGAGAAGAAACCGAATTTACTTGATTGTAGCTAATTGACGATGTATATATGTAACGTTATCTATATTCCATTCTTTTTTGTGACCTGTACTTAACCCAGTGGGTATGTGTGTACAATAAAGGTCTTCATTCATTCAATATAACTAGGCAACGGTTAATACAATGAGGGCGCGTCACAACCATAAAACATAAAAAGACCTACATCCGGATCCATTACTGCTCCCAGGGCGTATGAAGATACTGTGCTTCAAGTTCGAAGTTCATTTTAATTACAAACACACACACACAATCATTGCATTCACATAAAGATCGGACTATCATAGTCGTGTCACTAAGACAACCCCACCGTTACTTATTAAGCGCGACTGGAACAGGCCAAATTCCAGCAACAGTTAATTGCGGCCAGCACCGCGAGTGTTACTGCCGCCGGTCAGATACCCGGGATATCTGCTTAGAGAACCTCTGCTACCAGACAACTGCCTAAACCTACGGCCTATTCCACAGGATTGTAAAAGTAGGGATGTTTCTAAAATATGCATTTACTTCAATATCAAAACAGCTACGGTAAAAATAAAAAGACGTGCATCACCTAGGACATAATGCCACACCACATGCGAAATTACACAGAAATGCGACGTACGGAAGAATGCGTTTTGGCTGCGAACATCTTCCAAAAAACTTGCTATTTCTTAAGCACGGGCAAAAACATCTGGAACCACTTATCGGAACCTCACCGTATCTGCCTGAAGGTCCACCCACCCCACTGCTATTCCAAACAACGCGTTTTTCTGGACCATTCCAATTCGCCTCGTAAGTGTAGGGGTGCGTCTGCAATATTACATTGACCGCGAAAGCAGCAACGGCAAAAATACACATTCGTGCATCAACACGGGCATGCCCGCAGACTGCGTATAAAATTGCGTGCCGATTACACAAAGAGAATCGAGTGTTTTGACTGCGAACACGAAAAATCAGCTCTTCACAACACTCCGCCCGGAGGTCCTGACCTCCTTCACGGAGTAATAAATCAGTGGAACAACAGTACAGTTGTCGTCCTGTCCTGTTTCTTTTCTTTCATGACATCTTCCCCGATCCCACTGGTGATTCTAGCTACTACGCCAATGCTTGACTATACACGTTAAGTGTCTTAAGTTACAACAAGGAAAATCGTAGATTTTGTACCTCCGGGTATTGTAATGTATGTTGCAGAATGTTGGGTGCATGTTGGGACTGTTCTTTGAATTAACTAGTGAATTCGCGCGAATACCATTTTTTTCGAAAAGTTTCGAAATGTTTGTAATTGGCTAAATGATGTGTGAAATCACTAATCCCCCCTAGCCGACTGGAGCCCAAAAATAGAAAGGACAGGAGGCATCCCGTGGCGAATCTGGCTGCCCGACCCTCAGCGACCAGCGATAATGTAAACAAACACAGTAACGGGTGTCCGAGACACGAAAAGGAATACAAATAATCTTACGCCCAAAACACATATACAATAAAACAAAAAAACCTGCACCATCTACAGCCCATTAACAGAAGATACACCGAGTCCCGAGAACGTCTGAGACAGTATACCACGGTATTTGTAAGCCGAAAACATCCGAAATTGCGCAAGAGGGCGTTGACCCCTGACCCATTGGCCCGCCCGGAAGTTCGCTGGCTGCGACCCGCGCGATCCCACCAGGCACGAGACGTTGATTGACGGCACATGTGGTTCACATCTGAACAGTTTCAAAGAATGCTGACACCCCTCTGTGTGAAAGGTCAGATCAGTGGTCGCGACCTCAATGGTGATTATACATGCAAAGGTCAAAAGCTGAGGCCCACTTTCACACTGAAAGGGGTGTCCATCGGCGGTCTAAACGCATCATTTTCACGCACTAAAACACACATACTAAAAAACCAAAACAACGTGCACCATCTACAGCCCAACAGCAAAACGTATACCAAGTCCCAGACATATCCGTCCACCCAAACGCGAGAAACGGGTGCGAACGCAATTTTCGTCTTCCCTCACAAAACCTCCGCGCTCGGGATATACATCCCTACCCGGAGGTAACAAGAAGCCATAGGTGACAATTCTCCGTGAAGTATTATATATTGCAACAAAAAGAAGTAGCCATCGGCGACAATTCTCTGTGAAGTGTGATAAATCGAACAAAGAAAAATTGTTTAAACGCGCGTCGGCTCAGTCATCTTAAGACGCAACAACCAATCAGAGATGCGAGATGTCGACACGTGACGCGGGATTTGCATACAGTCTAAACAACGGGGAAGGGCGCGCGATGCCCGAAATATTTTTGCGTCAATATTCAGCGCCGTGATTCAAGAGGTTAATACCCGGAAACAATTTCAACATGCATTAACATGCATTTACGCTAATCTAGTATGATTCAGGGTTACTTTTTTACCTGCCATGGCCAGATTATCTAAAGATGCGTGTATTGTGTGTACAATCTACAGAAAGAGAAATGTACATCAGGTCCGATCATCCGATTTTCACGTTTCGGTTTTTTGGACTCGGTTCATGAACGTATTTTGGTTTGGCTCCTGGAATGTGCGAAAAAAATGACTCCCGGGACTGTCTACAGGGAACACTCGCACATTCGCGGTGTATCAGGACAGCGCGACTGGTCGGCATTAGCGCAGTCCCTGCAATTAGTAACAGTTGCATAAACGGACGAAAACATTTCAAAGAAATGGGGATGTTTCGAAAATAAGCATTTTCTCCAATATCAAAACAGCTACGGTAAAAATAAAAAGACGTGCATCATCTCGGACATAATGCCACACCACATGCGAAATTACACAGAAATGCGACGTACAGAAGAATGCGTTTTGGCTGCGAACATCTTCCAAAAAGCTTGCCATCTCTTAAGCATGGGCAAAAACATCTGGAACCACTTATCAAAACCACCCCGTATCTGCATGAAGTTCCCCCCCCCCACTGCTATCCCAAACAACGCGTTTTTCTCGACCATTCCAATTCGCCTCGTAATTGTAGGGGTGCGTCTGCAATATTACATTGACCGCGAAAGCAGCAACGGCAAAAATACACATTCGTGCATCAACACGGGAATGCCCGCAGACGGCGTATAAAATTGCGTGCCGATTACACAAAGAGAACCCAGTGTTTTGACTGCGAACATGAAAAATCAGCCGATATCGATCACAACACTCCGTCCGGAGGTCCTGACCTCCTTCACGGAGTAACAAGCGGAATTTCTTTTCTTTTTTACCTGCAGCAGGCCAAAATCAATGCGCGCGTGGACGTCATCCATAAAAATTACTTGGTGTGACCTAATAGATACATTTGTACGATATATGATCGTGGCTATGATCAGGTACTTTTCCGTTTCTTTTGAACTTTTGGCCCAAGTCTGTTCGCGGGAAAAACCGACCACGTGTTGTGCGTAATCTCCCATGATGCACCAGGTGATCGCTGATCGGCAGACAGACGGGAAGATGGCGGACGGAGTGGACATAGATCTGTACGCCGACGACTTGGAGCAGGAATTCACCCAGGTAAGGACCTCAAACAGCAGCCAAACCGCTTCAGAACTGTAGCCAGAATATCAGTGGACGTTTTGGATAGCTCAAGCTTCCCTCTCGAGCTAAAGTTTATGCATATTTTTGAGTCAACGCAACGTGTTTTTGCACGGCGCCCTCTGACAAAAGAAGCGACGCCATGCTGTTTTGGCCACGCCGCCTGCAAAATATTTTGTCTCAGATGCAGCTCAGGTTTCCTGCGATGTTACTTGGTTTAGCCTGCAGAAATAGAAGTTATGAAACTAGATGTAGCTGTTACAAAGTGCAGATAGTCTACATTTGTCGTAATTCCTGTATAAGTTCTCTGATTTGCCTGACGAAAACATGTTTGCTGTCACCTCCATGACCAAGCCATGTCACAAATCTGGTCACAGTTCTTGTCAAATGGCTACGAACTAAAGTGTACAGTCAAAATCAAATGTCTATATTTCGTGTAAGCGGTTACAGAAAGGTTGAAGGTTACGTGGTTTATAGATTATATTTTTTGAGGTTTGTCAGTTAATCATATAAATTATTTGTAAGCATAAATTGTTGTGCAAAATAATAATTCTAAAAGTAACCAAACCTCGTAAAATCAACAATAGAGCAGGGGGTGGGCAGGGTTCAATAAAAAATCTCCCCTAAATTCTATGTTGTATGTGTGTAATTTTTGTGTGTGTGGAAATTATGAAGCAAAATACTACTATTCTGTGATCACGGGAGGTGTTAAGTGAAGCATAATTTTCTTAATAATAGTATTATATTATTAATTTGTCTACATAATATTACATATTAGTTTCCTAGCTAACAATAGATAAGGAATATTTCTATTGTCTTTGGCTGTAGATGTTCCCCAACATCTGCATCTTATAATTCTTCCAGAAAATGTGTATCATCATATATGCAAATGATGGGTATACTCAAAACTGTTCTGGTGTCGTGGTGACCAAGGAAATGATATACAAAATGTACCTAATATTGCCCATTAACTATTATATCCAGATAGTTTTTCTCTCATCTTCTTGAAATTTTTGAATATCAAAGTCTATGAGTACGAGTTTTCAGCCATGGTAACAATGAACGTGTTTGTTACAGGAGGGTGAATTTGGCGATGCAGACCTGTACAACGATGTCATCACGGGGAACGCTGGCCCGGATGGTGAGGGTGGGGAGGTAAGAAAGGTTGGTGTGAAGTGTTCCCTGTAGTGTTCCCCTTTTCCCTTACATGTACTATAGTACTGCTCTACACAGCAAATGCTTCATAGTACAACTTACATGTAACTCATGTTCTGTTGTAACATGTAATTTTCTAGCTCTGTACTGTAGTGGTCCTCCTTCCCTTGCAGTTCTGCTTCACACAACAAATTCTTCATACATCGTTATTTATGTTCTGTTCAATCTGTTGTAATTTGTAATTTTCTAACCTTGTACTTTAAGTTGTAGAGTATAGTGTTCCCTCTTTTGTTGCAGTACTGATTCACATAGCAAATGCATCATGCATAGTAACTCATGTTCTGTTGTAAGGCCACACCAAGTAAATTTTATGGATGACGTCCGCGCGCGCATTGATTTTCGCCTGTTCCTAGAAAAAAAAAACAAGAAATTCCGCTTCCTATAACTATGACCAAAGAGTCATGACAGTGTTGCAAATCGTCAGATTGACGTGAAACCCGTAACGCGAAAACAGGACAGAACAACAACTGCTGTTCCACCTGATTTATTGCTGTTTTGATGATGAATGAAAGACTTCTTGCTTGTTACACTGTGTCACCTCATTCAATTTGTGTCCTAACATTTGTCGTCTCTTAGTATATTTCTAATCTAGGCATCTTGTTTTTTAGGGCCCTTGGTTTTTTTTTGCCCTCTCGCATTAGATTTAGGGTCTCCAAAGGACGTCATCCATAAAATTTACTTGGTGTGGCCTAATATGTAACTCTATTACTCTAGTTTTCCCCTTTCCCTTGCAGTTTTGGTTCACACAGCAACTTGTGTTTTGCTGTACTTTGTAATTTTCTAACCTTGTAGAGTAGAGTGTTCCCCCTTTTGATGTACTAACTTGTAGTACTGCTTCACATAGCAAATGCATCATACATAGTAACTCATGTTCTGTAGTAAATTAACTAATAATTTAGTGACTGAGAATTAACTGGAATGGGAATCACAAAATAAAATCCCAAGGTCAGAATTATGTTCCATGATATTGTCAGGGTCAGACAACATCTTGTTGCCCCTGAAATATAAGCTTCAATTTGTGCCAACTAAAACAACACCATCCCAGTATGTACTATCTAATTTCCATTAGTAACCATTATCAAAGGTTATCAGGTCTGTTGAAGCTTTGTTATTTTGAAGATAACACCACCCCCCCTCCCCCTCATCTACAACAAACATTCTGGTCAAAGGTGAAATGCCACCTGTTCATACTATTCCTTTCCCAGCACAAGAAGGACTGACAAAGAAAGATACAGGGGTGTGACTTCTGTAAAAATATTTTTATTATAGTTTAGACAAGAGATGTGAACAATAGTTTATAAAGATATAGGTAGGGTAATTGAGAAAATGGTGGCAGGATATTTAAAAACAACACAGTGAAGACCGCTGATCTGAAAAAAAAAGTGGTAACATGTTGATGTGTCCACGACCCTTTTTTGGTGCAGCCCGAACCACTTCTGCATGCCCTAGAACACAACGTACAATAGTGTTTTGAAACAGATGCTGTGTTTTTGTGATATCTGTGATGATGACTGGTGATTATGTGAATCAGGAGTATACAGACCACATGTTAATCCTGCCCATCCCCTCCCTACAGTACATGGAGGGTCCCACCACCCCCACAGAGCACAAGACTAGCTCTGTCCCCTCCCACAGTGCCTACCAGGGCAGGCGCTGGTCAGTGTATATCGGAAACCTCACCTGGGTAGGTACAGTCACATGTTGGACCGTCTTCACTCTTACTTTGCTCTGTTTTCCCAAGATTTTAAGTACAAATTTGCAATGAAATTTAGTTACTTTAGAAGTTGTGAGTGAGTGAGTATGTCAATATAAGAATAAGCATACATAGTTGGAGTAATCTCTTGTGTTTTGTTCCCATGTGACGTTTGTAGGTTGATTTTGGATGGACCATTTTCTACTTACAGTGCAAACAGCTTGCAACAATGTATGAAAGGATTGAAAGTATTACTATTAGTATTAGCAACAACATTTTGGGTCTTGTTTTATTTTTTCATTCCGATCCAATAATCTAGATGTAGAGCTTGTTGATTACCAACAGAATTACAGAGGAAAGATTCAGCATTTAAAAAAAATGTGATTTAGCATATCAAATGTCTATATTGCGACCCTGTGTTTTCCCTATAGTGGACGACTGATGCAGACCTGTCTGAAGCCATCCTGTCAGTGGGAGTAAAGGATCTTCTGGAGATCAAGTTCTATGAGAACAGAGCAAACGGACAGTCCAAAGGGTAGGCATGTTCGTTAAATGGTGTTAACATGGTGTTGACAAGTTGTCATTTCTGAGGTAGGATTTTTTTTCCCCAAAACTACACAAAATGAATAACAAAAAGGTAACCTGAGAATATTATCTATCTGTACAGTAGCTGATGTTGATATAAAAATGTTTGACATGTACCTTCCTGGATGCCTCTGTTTGCAGGTTCTGTGTCTGCCACTTTGGTTCTGAACAGTCTCCCAGGATCCTGATGGACAAGCTGCCTAGAAAGTAAGAAAGACACCTGATTTTTTTTTCTAATGCTCATTTTATAGGCCTTACTACATGTATTTGTGAGTATTCCATTTGTGAATATCATATCTCTCGGAATCTTGACTAAATTCCTTGAGTATTATGATATTTTCATTCGACTCTGATGAGTGATAACCTTTAAGTACATGTGGACAAAAACCTTGTGTTTCAGGGACCTCCATGGACAGAATCCAGTGGTACGCCCCTGTAACCGTCAGAGTCTCAACGAGTTTGAGATGCAGTCCAGGAAAAGTAAGGCTGGTTATAGTGAAATGTCCATTAGTTTAAGGTAAAAGGTGTTATGTTATGTTGATAAAAGTTAGACATCCAGGTAATATCATATAATCTTAAAGATTTTGAAAATCTATCCAGTAACTAGTGTTGGGTTACATCATGTCGCAATTTTATAGCAGCGGGGATTTAGACTCCTGCCATATATATATGAATGTGCTTGAGTAAGAATTGACAGCAGACCATATGCGAAGGTAAACATTATGCTTTCTAGTTCTATAAGGAAAGTGTTTTGTTGACGTTTCCAGCAACTGGTGCGTCTGACAACCGTGGTCCGCCAGGGTTCCAGCAGCGCGGGGGGATGCCGCCCAACCGCGGCCCACCTCCGCCGGGGATGGGGAGAGGACGTGGGCGCGGCCGCTTCCCTAACGACAAGGGGCCACACCCACATCCTGACCGCTTCCCTGGTCCGCCCGGACCCGGAGGACCGCCACCCTTCCCACCTGGACCCCCTGGTCAGTTGGCAATCATCCTATGTCTGTTTATTATTTCATTTCATACATGGTATGGACTAAAATATTTTTTACTCATGTTTCTTCTACTGTCATTTTGTGAAATGGATACAATTTCGTAATTTTTCGGCCAAATGACCTAGAATTTGGTATGAAGTTGAGTAGGCCAATACCCTCAGGCTTGTTCATTATTTGATACAACAAAATTACAAGCTTTTAGAATTGGTATATTTGGGTTTATTTTCAAGATGTAGAATTGGAGAGGTAATACGAGTTTTGAACAGTAGCAATTCAGCTTCAAACTCCACGAAGCAGAATAATGATTAACAAGAAGGGAAAATGTAACATTGTGCCAAAAATGCTATTTTAGTGCCAAAAAAAAGCTAAGGTAACACAGTCTTCCTCAACTGAGGTAATGATGCCAGGTTGTCAGAATATGAAACATCTATCACTAACGCCTATCATCACTTTTGGTCCTCCAGGTCCCCCACGAGGACCCCCTGGCCCCCCACCAGGGCCCGGAGGCCCACCTCCTCCCCCGGGCATGGGGGGACCCCCCAACAGAGGCCCACCCCCTCCCAGGATGGAGGTAAGTCTATGTCCTTATCGTCAGTTGCTAAGTCTGGAAGGACCAAACATTGTTACCTTTTGAGCATATACATTGAATTCAGGGCTCGAAATTCATTTTTGGGAATAGGTGCACCATGTAAAGTAAGATAGAATGTCAGCAAAAATTAGAAACCATAATGAGCAACATGAGTGTGGAAAATAATATCAATGAAATACATACTTTTTTAATATGTGTACAAAATCCAACAAATTATTATTTAGTTTCTGCATCAAATCTCACTTTGACTAAAAAGGGTCCCAAAGATCACATCGAAGAAAAAAGGGAAAATATAACATTAAAAAACATTATTGGATTACATTGAAAAAAGCCTTGACCTCTTGGCAGTTTCTTCTGACTCACTATCTCACTCACAGAATCACTAACGATTTCTTCTAAGAATCTCTCAGTTTCTTCTAAGAATCACTAACGGTGTCTCATTCTTCAACATCTGGCTCCGAGTCTGACTGAGGGGGGTACTCCACTCTACTCTACTCTGTTTCTTCAGAAACTTCGGGCTTGTGCACGTAGGCGCCTGCTTCTATCACGGCGCAAGAAACTTGTGTTTCTGCTTCTTCTTGCTCGCAAGGCGGAACTTCGTCGATCTCGGCTTCGTCGTAGGGGTCACGGGCTGATGTGGTATCGTAGCTTCGATGACAACGCCCATGCCCCGAGTTTGGGCACTAAACGGTGCTCTTCAGAAATCGTAAGAGGCATACTGTAATTCACTTTACGGTCATGATAGCAAAAGTTCGCGGTCTGAGAAAAATTGCACATTCGCAGAACCATAATATGTTTGCGGTGGCAGCTTTTGCAGAAAGAAGAAAACTTTTTGCCGTAAAGGGCAGAAGTGACAGTGAAAACCGCAAACATAAAAGCGTGAAAAAAAATTGTGATTTACATTACTTGCTTTGGCACATTCTGGACACTATCAACATCCAGGAATTTTAGGGCCAAATCAGTGACGAAAGTTATCACGGAAAGTATCAGAAACTCCCAAAAAAACAAAGAACATCATGTTTTGATCACATGACTTGTGAAGACCCTTGGAACAAGAAGAAAGAATATGTTCTCTTGGCCAGAGTTACATGCAAAATGCCAGAAGTCAGTTGATGCGCAGCACTTGATGTTGGCGTAGCACTCGCACAGTTTTGGAGCTTTCAAAAATTCTGATGAACCCAAATTCTAACTTCAAAATCTTAAACAAGTAGTACTACAACAATGTAATCATTTTTCTGACACTCAAATGTCAAGAATATTTTGTTTACTAGGGTACATTTAAAATTACATACGTATACCTACAGAGTTATGTGTGTACTCATAGAAAACAAATTTGGTGCACAGTTCCAATTTTTGGGTGCACCAAGGTGCACATGCATGGTCCACCCAGTATTTCGAGCCCTGTCGATAATACTGTAATGCTTTCTCCCCACACTGATATTGTTGTAAAGGAAGTAAAACCTCCCTGTACTCGGACATACATGTGGTAAAAGTCAGAACAAGAAGTACCATAAATTGTTTGCCTGTTGAATTGACACTTGTTTCTCCTGTTGGCTGGTAGTATCGAGACAGACCATGGGGACCACCTAATGAGGTATAGCAAACTTTCTTGAGTAGCCACTAAACATTGTTTATGTTTGTGTCACAAATGTACTTCACTTAAGCAGAGGTTAAGCCCATTTTGGACATTTTTCAGGCATTTTGTCAATTTTGTTGACTTCTCTTTGGGTGTTGGGGCCAGACCAGAAAGGGGACCAAAATGACTAAAAGAGGTTTTATTAGAAAACATCCAAAACAGACCTAAACTCTGCATGGTGAGAGAATTACCAATGTTTTCTTTATATTTAATGATAATATATTTTCACCCAAACATTGATAGATGATCAGCCACATGTAGTATGCAGTGTGCACTCTAGATCTGTATAGTTAACTCAGTCATAAACCATATTCATAGTGAACAACTAGTAACATTTATAGTCAAGGACTACATCACAGAAAGATCTGTCTGTAAAGAAACACATCAATTTTGACCAAGCTGCAGTGGAATATAGTTTCATAGTTGTCTATTGAATAGAAACTAATGAAATCAGATGCATTATAGGATATTTTGACAACCTAGTATAGCTGATAGCTGGCTGATGATGTCTCAGTGTAGAGTGAAACTTTGAATATGCTAGACTGTACTAGACTGGGTGTAACACTGTATGTGGGGAAAAAGTAGTAGTCTAAAGAATACACATTTTGTACTTTATAATGTATTTTGTTAGTGAAGTTGGGACCTATGGCAGGGCTCGTAATTAACATTTTTCCTGGTGGATTTTACATGGGCCTGATAATAAGCACATTTGATGTCATTTGTATCAAGAGAAGTGTACCCTAAAGTCATGTTGACCTGTCCATCTCAGTACCCTGGACTTATTGTTAAAAACAAGTTTCGTCAACTAGTCATTGTGGCCTCAGAACCACCAACCAACACACTATTGTCTGTATTATTATATTAGTCATGCCACAGTTTTCATGTATGAAAATGAAATTAATGTTTGTTTGGGACGTTGTTGATTCTCCTGTCTTTGTGCAGCACATAGAGCGACCACGCCATTTCATGCCAGACCACGGACGTGTATGTACTACTCAGATTACTGTAGATGTCCGAGGTGGCACCTTACCTAGCCCAGCTGGCAACGCTAATTAATGGCCCCAAACCACTAGGATGTGCTTAGTTTTGAGCCCTGTCTTTGTAGATGTATTATGTATTATATTAGTTAACAGCTTATAGCTAAGTAGAAATGTATGAATACTAAGTAGATGTCAGGGTAGAGATTACGCAAAGCGGGATCTCAGAATCTGTACTGGTAGAGATCATGCCAAGCAGGATTTCAGGATCTCTACTGGTAGAGATTACGGCAAGCAAAATCTCTACTGGTAGAGATCATGCCAAGCAAGATCTCGGGATCTCTACTGGTAGAGATTACTCCAAGCAGGATCTCAGGATCTATACTGGTAGAGGTCACAAAATTCAATCAGAGTCTTAAGTTTTCAATGCATGTGGATATTCACTTCAAAGACAGAACATTTCAAGCTAAATTTATGCCACTTTCGATCAATAGATTGACTTGTAACATTTGGTCCTAGGACCCCCTGGACCCCCACGTCCAAACTTGAGGATCTGTAAGTTGGAGGCCACTCTAACACATTCCAAGAATTCTGATCATAATCTGTCTGAGCAGAGAACTCTGATCGCAATCTCTGTGGACAAACTCTGATCGCTATCTCTACTGGCAGAATCGCTGTTTCTGAGAAGTCCCAATCTCTACCCTGACATGTATATTATGACAGATAATTAGCGTAATTAAACGTGAGCTTTCTTTGTATAAGTGACTACTTGTGCCAAGTATCCTTTTGCTGAATTTGTCCCGCAAAATGCTGTCCTCACAAAAGAGTCCTGCTTTATTTGCAACTGAGCCTAGTCTGATAACAATGTGTATGTACTTGAGTCATGCCATACAATTCACAACTTAGGACTATTGTAAGGAAATATTATAGCAATGAAATTTCATTGTTAACATCCAAAAGACAAGTAGAGCATGTAGGAATATTGTCAGATAATGTGCTGCAATGTCTTACATGGCTTATGCTTTCAGTGTATTCATAGATACAATCTTAGTAGGGATAGAAGGGCTTTTTTAGAAGCTACATGTATGTTGATAGACTAGCCGGAAGAATGGAAGGGAACGTGTAGCAAACATTCAATTTTTTTTGTAAATTGTGTAGAAACAAAATTATTTTGGAATGCAGTGGAATTCCTAGTCCATGCTAAAGAATTTTTGAAGAGTTCAGATTTTTTACCTCTTCCATGATATATGACCAGCAATTCTCTCTTGCACAGCAGGGAAAAACTGCCTGCACATTTTCAGATTTATTACTTGAATCACAAGAATGTGAAATATCACATGACATGATGTGAAAGCTAAATGTGAATTTTCTGACCCTACAGCGTATGGATGCACCATGGAGAGGGCCGGAGGTGGGTTGAGAACAGAATTCCCTCTAAAGTTTTGCGATAATCTTTTATGCAGTGTTTTAGCTAGCATGAAATCTTTTATTGTTATCTAAATTTTGCCTGACATAACTTCACATCAATGGCCAAAGACACGACTACTAGTATCCTACAGTGGACGGGGCATGCTCCTCTGGCTAAATTTTGAAATCTTGACCCCCTGAAACACTGTTTCCTGCCTTTTGAGGGGCAAAATTTATTGGAAAAGGGTAGTTTAATGATATCTCTTTCCGTATCTTTATAGGCCAATTTTTAATGGATTTTGGTTGCCATGAGTGGCAAATTTCGGGGAGACAGACACTGGCCAAAACACTAGTTTGTATAATGGTTGTAACTATCAAAAGTTTGTATGATTCGACATTCAACCTTACAGTATATTAGTAGTTAATGATGTGTGTTGTTATTTCTCTGTCAGCCTGGCCCCCCTCGTGGTCCCCCCCCTGGCATGCAGCTGCCTCCCCCTCCTGGCCCGGGGGGTCCGATGCCGGGACCGCCGCGGGGACCGTCCCCTGGCCCGCCCCAGGGCCCTCCCCACGGCCAGGGCCCTCCTCACCACGGGCCACCTCACGGACACGGGCCACACCACGGGCCTCCTCCTCCACAGGACAGCAGAGGTGAGCCTACTCTGTCCATCCATTTACTAACATTAAGATTTACTGTGATGTTGAGCTTCCTGATCATTGCAGATAAGAAAAGATACAATTTACAGTTAAAACAGCTTTAATAAAACAGCTTTAATAAAGCTGTTTCACCTCTTCAAAAGCATGTCAATTTTTTGGTTTAAGTTAATTTGCTTCAGGGCTTGAAATACCACCTGCATGTGCAGGTTAGTGCAGGTATTTCTGATGTTTACCTGCACTGGTCCATGCACTGGGTTTATGTGGGTTTGTGTGGATTTTTACCTATGTGTTGACTGGTGCCACCTACATTTTAAGAGAGATGTAAAAGAAATAATGTCAGTGGCCTCTGAGCAGTTTTAAGTGTCATCCATACTTAGAATTCTGAGTGGTGCAAATTGTCTGATACTGGTCATTTTCAGTGTTCACTGCAGGTATGCAAAAACTATTTAGATCCCTACACTCCTTGAAAAACAATTGTGAATGAAATGGCAAATTTAATGTCTGTTGTCCCACCCAGGTTATGGACCTCCACCATCACAGGGACCACCTGGACCACCCCCTCCAGCCCTCCCCCCTCGACCAGGACCCCCTCCTCCTCCCCAACATGGCCCCCCTACAAGTCTGGGCCCCCCTCCAGCCGGCCCACCCCCCACAGGACACAACCCCCCTCCTGCTCCCCACGTCAACCCTGCCTTCTTCCCCCCTCCACAAGGACAGCCTGATCCCAGAGTAAGTACTCCTAATCCTAGCTAATCAAGCTTGCACATTTGCTTACTGATGTCTTCATCATCTTTCCTTAATCATTTAATGTACTGTGTAAAACTATCAAGAGTTCTTTATTCACAACCACTTGTTTAACAAGATCCAACATTTCAGTGACCTGTGTGTTCAGGGTACAGTGAACCAGTAACACCTAGCTTTAGTGCACAGTGAACCAGTAACTCTTAGCTTCAATGCAGTCATAACTGCCTTGATGAAGATGACAGATTGTCATCAAAATGTTGACTCTTGCTAAACAAGTGGTGAAGATAAAGAACTTTGCTATCTAATCATTATTCACCAACCTGATGAAATTGTACACAGTTTAGCTTTTTTGAATACCAGTAACTTATGCTGCCTCAACGGCTGACGAAGCTATGGGAGAGACTCAAAAAATCAGTTACACTAATCAGATAGCTTGTATTTTTTTCATCCACAATAAGGGAGGTGTTGTAAAATTCCTTTTTATATTTTATTACAGCAGCCCCCACCAGTGTCGGCAGCCAGTGACCCCTACGCTCGCCCCCCTCCCCCCGAGCACTACCCCCCGGCGAGCAGGGAACCTTACCAGCGCCCACCAGAGAGGTGGGTTATCCTTCTCATTTACATTTGTAAATGTGTGTTACACTGCTGAAAGACTAGAAAAGTTACATGGCTTGAATCTGTGACTTGCGTGTAAGGACAGAGCATACAGGTTCACTGGACTTGGATCCGGACTTGTAAGAATGTTTAGGTTCAAGTCCAAAAAAATCTAAAAGTCAAGAACCGAGTCCGGACTTATTACCATAAAAGACCATTTCACATACCCCTTCACAACCTTCCGTAGATTGTAAAATCTTTGCTGCAAAATGAAGAAAACATTGGCATCAGGCATCGTTAAGTACTCCATGTTATGTGGCCAAAGTTTCACCCAGACAACATTGCAAGGTTGCAAACATGCAATTTTGTATATGCCATGAGTTTAGGTCCGAACTTACAAGTTCGGAACTGAACCTAAACCTCTGGACTTGAATCCGGACCTGAACCGAAAATTGGGTTTAGGTATGCATCACTATGAAGCATTGTGTGCTGTGAAGAAGCAACTGCCTTCTTGTATCTCTCTGTGTCAAAACTGCCCAAGAAGACCACTCAGGGGACTGATAAAATCTGATCTATGGACAGTGATCAATATAGACAGGATTCTTAAGGCCTTTGTCAATGCAAAAAATCTGTATCTGTATAGCCGGTATAACCGCCCTTCGGCATAACACACCAGCTTCGCAGGCACACTGCGCTGTGGCAGCTAACCATGGAACACCTAACTCTAAACATTGTTTAAAGCTAATAGTGATAATGCCCCTACTGCACTTGGTGACAGTGAGTTCCACTTTGCGGTAGTTCTAGGAAAGAATGAGTTTTTGAACACCTGAATCCTTGGTTGATAACTTTTGTACTTGAAGGCATGATCCAAGGGACCACCAGAAAGGGCCCACATGGTGACTTGTACAGGTCTGACTGTGTTCACAATCCCCAGAAGTGACATGTTGTGTTCCTGTATGTTTCAGACATGACTCAGCCCCCCCTGCGCCAGCCCTGAGCGAGGCGGAGTTTGAGGAGATCATGAACCGGAACCGGGCGGTTTCCAGCAGTGCCATCTCCCGGGCTGTGGCTGATGCTAGCGCCGGTACGTCTGCTTCAGACAACCGTTCAGTCCTGTCTCTACTGCTACATTTTTGTATTTTAGATCCACTGCAAGATGAAACCTGGAAACTTAAAATAGAACCTGAAATCAGTACTCATAAAGCTCTAGGTGCACAGCCACTCTATCCCCGTGGTAAAGGGCTTTGCACAGACTACCTTGAGACTTTGACGTTGTTTGGAAAGTATTGGACAATCTGGAATTCTGGATGTTTTTTTCTTGCTATTTGCTTCAATAGCAGTAGCTGGGAAGGTATGAAAACATGGTTGGAATTCAGCAGATCAACTTCATTTGTGAGCATTTAATAGTGGTAGAGTTTATTTTACCCAAAATGAATAGAAATCTGTTGGCGGCCTGAGGAATGAATCGTACAGCTTGGACAGTGCTCGAAATTATATATATATACACTGATAGAAACTTGCTACCCAATTTTGAAATATCCTTGATTTTCTCTGTTTCCCCAGGTGAGTATGGCAGTGCCATTGAGACCCTGGTCACAGCCATCTCCCTCATCAAGCAGTCCAAGGTGTCGTCAGATGACAGGTGCAAGGTACGACAATCACTGCTTTGAGCCAGGGCTCTAACCAGCAATCGTTTTTCCGCCAGTTACTGGAAATTTGCGGCGTGTGACGGACAGTAATTTTAAAACAATCCGTTAACCTTAATGGACAGAAACAAAAACCTGTACCGGATCAAAGTCTCTATCAGCAGAGACCCTGTCCAGACGTATACCTGTAGGCTATCGTTTTGTTGTGACCTGTATACCTGTACAATAACCAAATCTTTAGAAACTCTGTGAAAGGCTTGTTGTGCTGATGTTTTCCTTACATTTTATCTGAACGTATGTCCCCAGGTTCTGATCAGTTCTCTGCAGGATTGTCTGCATGGCATTGAGGCAAAGTCCTATGGTTCTGGCTCCAGGTATGTAGATACAGTCGTTTGGTAACATTCCAGTTGATTTTTTAAAGCTGCATTGTGTAACATTAGGAGTAGGACGATACAAAAAGTAAATTTTCTGGTCTTTTCTTTACAAAGCAATTTGAATCAATCCTACTCCATTGCAAATCAGTGTCATTCAGGAAGTGGAGGTGTTTACATTCTGGTAGTTTGTGGTGGCACCACAAACTGAGTGTGCCTCGTGTGGGCTATTTTAGTAACAACAGAAATGTGAGATAAATGCACAAATATGTTGAAAAGTGGAAGTAAATTATGATCACACAAAGATTTTCCAGTTGAAATATTTCAATATTTTGTGCAAAAATGTTACATAATGCCATTTAAAGCAATTCAGTCCATAACGTTTGCTATTTTTTTTTTTTTTTTTTTCTATCTCTGTTCTTTATTGAGTATCGAATACATATGTACATAGATAATAAATTGTTACATATGATTCATCAATTTCTGTCTGTTTGTACAATCTTTAACTTAACTATCCTGACAAATTGTCTAATACCTTTATATATATTTCAGAATGGTATACAACTAACAAGGCTGATACAGAAAATATGCACATACCTTTTTCTCACAAATTCACAGACTTAACAAATGTCACTAATTTCGATATTGCACATAAATACTGTAACACTATATCAGCTAAGATTCAGTTGAATTTAGGGCTAACTAAAGAAGGCATCAAATGTTTCCCAAACACGGAAATAAATGCCATAACGTTTGCTATTTGTAATACTTGTATTAGGAAGCGAGACAGACACTCCCGCGAGCGAGACAGCAGCCCCAGCCGTCGCTCCTCCAAGAGCCGCAAGAGAGACCGCGAACGTGACCGCTCCCGGAGCCGTGAGAGGGACTACCGAGAGTACCGCGAGCGCAGCAGCAGGGAGAGGGACCACTACCGGGAACACCGCGACAGAGACCGCGAGCGTGATCGTCGCCGTTAGGACGCAGACTTGGACAACCGAACGTCTCGCAGTAGTCAGGTAAGAACCATGTTTGTGCCTTCTATCCACATTGCTTCTGTTAACTTCAATATGATGGTTGTTCTCAGAGATAGGTTATGTGTAGACATGATTCCAGCCATTGATGCCCAATGTTGGGAGCTTATATGAAATGATGTTCTACTAGATTAAGATTGCTTTCATTGAAACCAAATTGTATACTGAAATCCTTGAATGTGGAAAAAGAAAGAAATGTCTTCCCTTGAAACATCAGTTAAAAAGCTCTCCATGACTTTCTTTAAGAGCGGAACAAACTGTTTGTCCTTGTACATGCGTTGTTAGTAGTAGTAAGATTTGTAGATGTTTGACATGATGTAAGTTCCTGAAACATGGATAAGTTGGAATGAGGGCATCTATTTTAGCAGCTTGGCATTGCGATGTAGTCTTTGTCTTGTAGGCAGCAGCAAGTGGCATACCACGATGTTCTTTCCCCTAGTAGGCTGGCGATTGGTAGTTTTTTTCCAGAGATAGACACTTTTTCATGTAAACTGGATTCAAGTAGATTTTTTTCCAGAAATAGCACATGTATCATTGAGAAAATGATGATTGTAGATGCCTGGATTACGATAAACCAGCCAGTCTAGGGAGAACCTCGAAGTATCTCAGTGTTGCTGCCCAAAGAAACATAATTTCTGTATCTGTGCAATTTCTGTATTCACCATGTCGACAATGATGTGTATGACCATGCAACAGGTTGCTGAGAATACTGTAAATCACTTTATATTCGCTGTACTTTTAGATTGGCGGTTTTCGCCGTCATGTCATTACTGCAAACAAATAATTGGCCGACTTTCTTTCTTCTGCTCCTGCCACCACTGCAAACATATAGTCCCGTGAACACGTCCATTTTTCTCAGACCACAAAATTTTACTGCTGCGAACATCAAATGATGTACAGTATTCAGAATTGTTATGTTACAGTGTATAGAGATACAAATGTGGTTTTGACACTGTTCGTATCCAAGTGCTGCTGAGCTGAATTTGAATCCCAGGCTGGCACATTTTGACCAACCCATTTGTTACATATGACTGAAAAGATTTAGGAAATCAAGGAAAAAAATCACTTTTTACTATTTGAAACAACCTGAAGTGTAAATCAAAGAATTGTAGCAATACGTTCATAAGTCAGTCTTTTTAATTCCAACTGCCAGCACATGGTTCAAAGCGGGGTAATTTGCTGCTTCAAAGCGGGGTAATTTGATGTGAAAAAGGCATGTATTAGAACAAAGGTGAATCAAAAGATGCAGTCGTGAATTTGACTAAGAACTTGAAAGAAAAGATGAAACCCTGAGGTTGATACTTCATCCATCTGCTGTAGATGCCTAGCTTATGTATGTCCTCTCTTCACTGTGAACACGTTGTTAACTGTGTGCCTTTAGGTGTCAGCTGGAAACAGCTCTGTGAAATAACAAGATCAGTAAGGGAAGGAGCCGGGAAGCATGTGTGAAGACAGAGGTTTAAGAACTTATATCTTTGCAAGAAAAACCAATAATGCAAAATCACAGGAGAAAATACCTGTATATACATGTATGTTTGATCTGATCAGACCCCAAAAATGTACAGTTCTTCCTGTCTTCATGAGGCTTACTGCTTCCATTCCTTACCTACTGACCCCTGCCTTCTGTGCCTGTCTGTATGTATACCAGGGCAGTATGCTTCCAAAACTCAACTTCTTCATTACATTACTCAGTGCTATTTACAGAATGTATGTTTAAAGTTGGAATCTATATTTTATGCTTAATTGCTCAACCGGGTGTTGCATGTATGTTAAACATGTCACTACAATGATATCCCCCATGCATACTCCTTGGGAGTACATTGACAGGTGCATAGTTCTACCCCCTCCCCCCGGTTGTGCAGTGCTGGGCAGGTGTCCTGTTGTATCAGTGTGCCTGTGCTAACAACACATGATCTCCGTCTTCTCTCCCTCCGTAGGAATGTCAGCATAGGTCTACTGAAGTGTTCTGTTCACTCTTATGACTTAGTCAACCCATAGATGTTGTGACTGTAAGTATAACGTAACGTGTGGAGACAAGACGGACCGAAGAAACAGCGGGGGATGCGGTGTGGGATTGGAGACACAGACTGCCGTGATCAAGGGAAAAAAGGATTGAGAAAAAAGACAGAAGGAACATCAGAAGCTTTGCTGTAGGAAGGTGACAAGTTCACCCGTCGTCTGTACCAAACTAGACAATTATGAGCGCAAAATTCAGTACTTGTCGTTCACGTGTTGTAAAAGTATATGTAACAGTAGAACCAGTAGTCTGGTAATCTGTAAAAAAAGGAAAATCTTTTAATCCCGAAGCATTTTTGTAGTGTGTAACGGATGTTGAATTTTCGGCATTTATCAAGTTTTAGTTTTACTACTGTTGATTTAGGGATGATACTAGGATGATATTAAAGACCTAAATGTGATGAAATGTGTCATTTCTTACTTGGGTGTTATTCTGTTGTACTGTGTTAAGGTGTAGCTGACATGTGGGTTGCTTACTGTGCTGGGTACATTAAAGTAGTGCTAATCATGTCGTGAGGTAAAAATTTATACTTAAACTTTGCTAAGGATCTAGGCTTGTACAGAGATGTCCCAAAGGGGTTATCCAGGGAGTTTAGGCAAGAATCTGTATTTTACTATTTTTAGATGCAATGAGGTCATGTAATAATATGGTCATTTGCAAAAGATAGTATTACCATGTTCGTAAAGAAAAAGGTATCACAAAAGACCAACTTTTAGGTAGATGGATAATATTTTTTTGTTTTGGTGAATTTTTTTCTGAATTTTGTGTTTTTGCTTCAGTGTACTTATTCAACATGTTTCCGTCACGCCTGAGATCTAGTGAAAACTAGTTTGTAAACAGCATTGTTTATTTACTATTCATGGAGCCCACCTCTTTAGCCTACATTATACTGTGCAACAGGTATATGGATGTGAGAGTATCACTGGAGACTTTTGATCCGACATTCCCTTGATGTATCTTTCACAGTGTGTTGGCTGCAGAATGTCAAAGCTCGGCATGCATTTACAGTGCAACAGTTATCATGCGACAGTTATCATACAACAGAAGATAGATTTTTTAACTGTAGAAGTCTTACCAAAGGAGCTTTACAGCTCGCAAATGATTTCAGGATAGTTTTCCATGTTCTGTGTTCTACTGTTAAACTCTTGCGTATTTGTTGGGTATTTGTGGGTATCGCGTTATAAAGCAAAACTAGTGTATAACACTCTAAAAGCCGACTCTAAAAGCCGATACTGGTGTATCAGAATTCTCATGTCTTGTTTGAATTTTTAGGAAAAGACAAGGTGTATTACAAGAATACTTTGGATACCACCCTCAGCTTGCTTCAGATCTGTATGATCTCAATATTGTCTTATACATGTAAAAGCAAACAGTGTGGTTGGTACATGTGCTTCAAACATAGGAGAAAGTAAACTAGATTGTAGAGTCTATTTGCTAGTTTTGAAAAAAACTTGAGAAAAAGATCTTAATCAAGGATATGACTCGGAAGAAGCACACATTGTTGTCTGTTAAGTGACCGAAGTAATGTTGTAATTGCCATGCTTGTTAAAAGAAACCAAGGATGCTTCAAGCTATTAGATAGATGGCCATTTAACTATTTTGTCCAAATGTGTGATTAACCTGGTTTTATTTTGGCAGTCATCTTTTCAAGGTGTTAATTACTTCCAAACAGCAATAAGACAAGCAATACATGTTCATTAGGTTGAAAATTGAAGAAAACGTCCATATGATTTGGTGATATAGTAGTTTTGTTTCCGTATATAGCCTCCATTTACTTCTCTGTACCATTATCACTTTTCCATGTTTAAACATTAATACAAAACATGGTCATTAGGATAGTGTGCTTCTGGATAGTATCCTTTCAACAAATTGAACCCCAAATGTCATTTTTATCCCAAGGTATTTTACAAACACTGTCCTATGGAACATTTTTTTGTTCATTTACGCTTTCAAAAACTTACTTGAAATGTAGTAATTATTACTCTTGGTAAATGCATTTTATCCCATATACAGATATTTTACAATGTGATTGTTGAAAGGTACTATAGATGTGAATTTCTAGGGAATATTTACTTTTTTTTTGCTTATTTAATATTTGTATTGTTGAAATCCCTCAATCTTGTTTGTCTCATGGCTAGAAAATCATAAGAACATTCTATTGTATTGGTCAATTATTAAAAATACCCACCATATGTAAGGGTTAGGAGTTTGAGTGATAAAATCTACCCAGGATATGCCTTGTTCACAATGATGTGGGAAGTTGGCATGTAAAGAGTTTTAGGCAGCCCTTTTAAGTTATTCTCTTGTAGACATAAAAGATATTTTATTACATGTTTTCAGGCTGAAACTGTGTTAGTTGAAAACAGCCAGTTGGATATTTGCCAAATTTCTATTGGGGGTTTACTTGTGCTTTTCCTAATGATTGTCCCTGAGTGGTAAAGAAACACACTTCCACTCATTATGTTGAGGAAATAGTATGTACATTAAGGTAACTTGAATTAGGATAGCTATTTCAGTGAAAACCCAATTTTATGAAAAAGGTTTTTTTGAACACGGGTTATCTCTTGTTGTAACAGTGCTTGCATACATGTAGATTAGTTACAGGTAATACAAATAGCAAATGTAGTTATCTTTGAAAATTTATTGTCTGTATTGGGAAATATTTTCAGAGATGGTAGAAAAAACCGACTTTTGACTGAAAATGACATTAAAGACTCCCTACCTCCAAGTTTGTACTACCCGGTAACACAAAAACTGTTCAAATTCTACTGAGTAGTACATGGAATTAGGCAGGTTGTTCCTCTACATGTTGCTTCACATGTGTGAAGTAGTCTGATGTGATATGTCATTGAACTGGTCATCATGGCTGACGATTATTTAAAGAGACAACTTATATCCGCATCCTTTTCTGTCAAGTTCAGGTTTAAAATTTTAAAAAGCACTAATGCTGTATTACTCTCACAAAATGACAAAAGAACAAAAACGCAAATGTAGCTCAACTTATGACAAGTACATGTACTAGGGGTAAACAAGATAGAGAATTGTACCTTTTAATTAATAGGTGATAGCTGACTTTTGTTTTTCTGTGTACAATGTGTGTTTAAGAAAAGGAACAGAAATGACACCCAGACATGAATACATAAAATAGTGTCCACCAGATAACATTGCAGAGTACTGACATCAATGATCTATTGGTACCAGTGCTTAGCAATAATAACATGATACATATTGTTGGGCAGTGTTGTTAGCAGCTAGGCTGTATGTGCTTAACCTGTTAGGGCCATATAGAACCCATTTTGTAGTGTCTACAGTATTCTGAATGTTGAAGAGGTGATAAGATATCTAGCAAGTTTTTACTTGTAATGTCCGGTAACAAATTTCCTGTGTTCAGATGTGATTTTACAGTCATTTGTCCATAGCTTGTATCTGTTACCACTCTATTTTACCCCTATCTTATGAACTGTTTGTTCTCCATTTCCTCATGTCCTGACGTCTCCATTCACGGTGTTGTTATCTCTTCACAGGGTGCCTGAGCTACAGTGAGGTTACTAGTAGTTTGATGGGTGGTTGAAGGGACCCTTGTACAGAGAAATCCCCCGTCCTACCAGCTCAGCAAGATCACACCAAGAGCACAAATGCCTGAAACAATTTCCAATAAGAAATAGCTTGCATTTTGAGTCAGTTGGTAGGGCAGATAAGAAAGAAGCATTTAGTACTTCCGATGGAAGGGAAAAAGATAAGTTCTCCTTGTTTCTGGAGACATTTTTACTGTAGGATGTGTAATTTAACATCAGGTATGTAATCCCCATGGGATGTAGTCAAGTTTTCCAACATCAATTGTAGTGCTGCTTACATGTATCAGGCAGTATATATTTAACGTTAGTAACAGAAATGTTTGTGTATATTTAGCGTTACTATATTTTCCTGGTCTGTAGTTGTAATACAGTTGTAATACAGGGACATAATCTAATTTGTGAGAGATATTAGCTAAGGGATTCCTAGGTGCTGAGTTGAAAGCTTTTAGATGTAAATCCTAATAGATGGGTACATTTTTATCCACTCCAGGCTGACCTATATTGTAATTGAGTGAAATGTCACTTCGTTTGATGAGCTGATATAGTATGGACAAGTTTATACAAGAGTTGTAATTTCGGGATTGCATTTTTCCACTGCTGCCAGGCAGTAGAAAAATGTTGCATTTTTCCTCTTTAATGCTAAATGGCTTTGTTTTTTAAAGACTAACCATATGCTGTTTTAGATCTTGATAATGCTGGGTACTAGCAATATTGAGCTAAAGGTGCATCGTTAGACTATTAACTATTTGCAAGAGACTGCAAATCAAGAGCAAATATGTCTTCTCATCAACTCTAATATTATTTACCATTTCCACTAGTAGGGGAAACTTGATCTCAGTGATAAGTTGTGATGAACCCAGTTTTTGCAAGGTTACGCCATACTTAATTCAGCTACTGTCATTTTAAGAGGTTTTGCATACCAATTGAACCATCGTTGTGCATACACAACTTTTAACACATGTATTCCACAAGTGTTAAGATTTTACCTCTTTTAGTAAGTTATGACTTCAGGAGGTGCATGGTGAACACTCAAAGAAGCTGTAACAAAAGACTTGCACATTGACATACATGTACATGTACCACGGCAGTGGGACTGTTTGTAACCCACACTCCATTTTTAATAACATGTCACGGCATGTTCACTTCACTAGTATGCGGTTAAAGATTTTTTTCCACAGTTTACCGGCCTGGCGACATCAAATGATACAACTGTAGCAACTACTATTACACGGGCCACTTTGCTCTGTTGTATTCAGTATCTGTACGGTTCTTCATACCAAAGCGACTCATGCACTAAGGAGGCATCAGCCAGGGGTTATTGCATTGTCCTGTATAAAACGACTCTGCAATAGCATTGGCCTGTACATCGAACTATAGGGGCACCGGAATAAAGTAGTGTTGTAACGTATTTAGGTTTGGTCTGAAATGGTGTCTGTCCATCAACAGAATGGTAAGTATGTAACATCCAGGCATATACGTGGGGACAGGGTGTCGTTAAACTGAGTAAACATTTCCCTCCTGTGAAGTAAATTAAACCACCTTCTACCGATCGCCATCCGCCATCAATACTTTTCTTTCAGATATGTGTTTTTGTTAACGTTGGACATAAGGGGTTGTAACACGCACTGAATGTGCTGCAATTCCAGCAGTGCGTAGGACGATTTTCACAGGTTGCAGCAATGGTCACCGTCATCAGCATGGTCATTGACACATGTGAAGGTCTGGTACAATATCTGTAGGACTTCTTAGAATAAACAGTATACACCAGAGCTTTAATGTTGTTTGTGTTCTTGAGTGAATCAGTGGGGACCGTTAGTACTGGGGTTTTTACTCTTAATTGCCACGATCAATAGGGCTGGTTGTTGTCTCAGCCCCCGTACTTAGTTATATGAGAACAGAAGATCCATCATAGTACATTCCACGAGGGCACGACAGGAAAAGGCTGTCTGACCTGACGTATTTTGATGGTGTTCAGAGATCCACTCAGTGGCTTGATTGCACAAGCCTTTACCAGGCTTCAGAGGATGGAAAGAGTAGAGTCAGATCGATCCGTCGACAACTATTCCTATGGCGGAGTCTCTGGCATGTTAATCTATTTGACCAATTTCAAATGATAATTCGATGCGGTGCGTGTGTCCAGGCACATGGTCACACCTACGCTACACGAGTCAGTGTGTTCATTCAGTGTGATGCATATGGATTCGAATCGGGTCTGTGTGAGTGGTACTCAAGTGGTGCAGAAACTCACTCTTTCTAGCCCCCTCTGAAGCCTGGTAGAGGCTAGATCGCACGACCATTTACAAAGCGCAGCACTGACCTAGCGTGGGGCCCAGGCTAATTATCAACAAACTTCATAATGGTTAAAAGCCTTGTGGCTGTGTTCTGTACTCTAGCTGCAAATTTGCCCGATGGACTTAAAACTGTTACTTCCTCGTACTAATGCACTCGCCAAAATAATCTATTGGATTTTGAAAGCAAATAATGAAATTTTGTGTCGACGTAAGCGTGTGCACTAACGCAATCTAAGAAACGTTCTCATGGTTTGGTCCATGGTAAAGTCGTTAATATCAAGGTCAAAATGAAAACGGAATAAATTGATACGTGTGACATAAGAGTTAATAGCATGCCTGTCCACCTCGATATGTGCACAAATAAGACATTTTTGAGAGACATCGTGAGTAAACATCATCTGCATGTAACCACTGGACCAACATCCCGCATTATGTATACGGCTGTAAGAGCCGCTAATTACGGGGAGTTTAGACTAAGTACTGCAATCCAACTTCGCTGGGCACCAGCAAGTTAGTAACATGTTTAGACGTCTTTTTCACGTTATGGTCATATTTTGCGTTACCTCATGTATATGATCTTTCAATTACGACTTAAGTACTTTCCAAGCAGAGGTTTCGGGTTATTTTTCGCGTGTTTTTAGACTTTTTTATCGTTTTTTTTTTTGCACTGAAATTTTTTGTGGGTTGCATGAAAAAGAAACCCCGATACAAAAGACTAAAAACACGCGAAAAATAACCCAAACCTCTGCTTGGAGAGTAAGACTATAGAACACGCTAGTCATTTGTGACTACATGATTAGATTTTATTGTGCCCAAATTTACAGATATTTTATTTTTAGCAGCTTTTAAGTAACATTATGTAACATTTTTGCCCCGAAAAATATTTGAAATTGAAAAAAAACGTGGGATTATAATTTACTTTAACTTTTCAAGATATTTGTACAAAAATATCACATATCTTACTTTTATGGATGGCGCCAAAACAGCGCACATGAGGTGAACTCAGTTTTATTTTGGCACCACCACAAACTACTAGAATTTGAACAAACATGGCCAACAGTCGTATAGTGTAACATTTGGGCACCTCAAATTCCAGAATACCAATGAAATAGGCGTGATTCAACGTATTTACTTTGAAAAGACATAACCAGAAAACTTACTTCGTAATGTTACATAATGCGGCTTTAAATACTTTGAACCATGGACAAATATGGCAATTGCATATTTCTATCCGCGTAACAGAAAGGAAACAAGCCTTTTTAAATGAATATTAATATTTTCTTTCCTTCCGATGCCCGAAACCATGACGTGACTCAACACAGATTATCATATTCATGTGGCCCTGTTGGTCACAATTATACAAACCTGGCGGTCGTGTTGTCGTCTTTCTCCCTCCACATCTGCCTGCAATCGTACCACGTCCTGCACGTGCACAATATCCATCATGAAGACCGCCCTGTTCCCCGTACTGCTGCTGGTGTCTCTGCTACTTTGTACAACGTTTCCAGCGACTCTTGGATCGACTGCGATCGGTGAGTAAAAAGTAGCGATGCCCTGATGGAGGGCCCCCTGGTACATGGTGAAGCATGCATATATATGGTCAAGTCCCTACGCAGTATTAAAACCCCCATGTCATGTATGAGGGTGTTGTACGCAAATTCTTTCCCGAAGGCTAAGTTACAAGTATCAAGAACACTGGTTCTTCTTTTCTTTCTTTTGAGGGTCCCACCTTCAACAGGGTGATGGTTCTGTTATATAGCTATAAAAGTATAATACATGTAGGTGCTTTGCTTAAAAGGGTCGAGTAGGTTGTCAGATCCTGTCCTTAAAGGCCTCCAATGATGGAGAGAGAGAGTAGTCTCTTCAGTGAGACTATTCCAGTCAAAAATCGTTCGCGGGAAGAAGGAATGCTGGTTATATATGGTTGAAGATAGCGTTGAGAATATTATGTCGAACAAGTGGTTTCAAGTAGATGTGGACTTGATGTCTGTGACTCTATCCTATGGAAGCAAAGGAAGTCGAAACGTTTCCTATATACCGTTAGCTCTCTTGTAATTTTTTTAAAAATATAAATTGACTACCCCTCCTTCTAGCGCTAAATTCTAAAATTTACTGCGATGTGTCACTATATGCTCTGGCCTCCTTGTATTTTACATCGTCCTAAATTGCGCATAAAACAACAAAATGCCTGGGAACTGCCATGAACGATATTTGGGGCTGTCTGTCATCCGTCCGTGCCTCACTCACAATAATGCGGTGAACCACGTGTGAACTCTTCATTAGCCTGATGTACACGGAGATAGCACTGATAGAGAGTGGGTAAGCTAATTTACAGAATCGGCGCATTCTGTGTGTTTTCTTCTGGCGTTTTGTACGTGTATAGGTCTATCTGTAACGGTATGTGTTAATCTCATTAGGACAGAGCAAAAGACACCAATGGAAAGACGTTCAAAACGGAACTAAACACGTGCAAAACTCCGCAAAAACGCGCGCAACACGAGCCAAACCCAAATATCTGCTTGGAGATCATATCTGCTAGCTTCCGAATGGTTGGGAATTCTGTTGACTCATTAAATATTCAGAGGATGCAGTGGGTCTTGTTTCTGACACAGAAATGATCTTTATGGATGACCATTTGGTAGGATACACGTGTACGTCTGATAAAATTATATATATGTCAGCAAGAGAGCTCCAGAAGATCCATAAGCTAACATGGACCCTGTGACATGGACCCATTGTCTGGAACAGTCTACCACCAGACATACGCATGGCCCCAACTCTAAGAAGAATCAGACATGACCAAAACGAACAGACAAGAACCATATACCAGCTCTCACTCTCAAGTATGGATTTTGTATCATGTACAGTGTTGCGTAAAATATGTGTACAGATTTACTATATGATTTAAAATGATGTGAACTTTATCTTTGTTTATGTATTTTGTCTGACCCTTACCTCTTCCCTCATGATCTCATTGAAAAGCGGCCTGTAGGCTTACTTGAGTTTCTCATGAGTAAAGAATGGTTCAAGAAGAAATAAAGTGATAAGCGACTAGACTTGAAACCTTATTTGATAGAGCAATATGGCAGGAGTAACTCCTGAATTGTGTTGCAATGTACATCAGTCTAAAATTCAGCATCATCAGATTACAATAAAATGCAGAAGTCATCCTTAAAATATTGTACACATAATGATAATGTAGTGACATAATATACATTTAAAAAGACCTGTAAACATGAACACGTCTATCGCTTCCACAGGTGTGATTCTGGACGACTCCGCCCAGATCGACGACGAAGCTCTCGCGAGACTGTTCGCGAGAGTTGACGTGCCGGATGACGGTAACGTCACAGAGGAGGAACTCCGGCCGGTGGTGGCCCGCATCTCCGGGGACGATCCGTCAGCAGCCATCTGGCAGGGTAATTATCGGAACTCCCCTGAATTAGGATGATGGATATGAGCATACAAACTTAGTGCAGCCGCCCAATGATGATGATGACAAATTGGAGCATACCAGACCATATTCTTTCACCCATTTTTCATCTATGCCCAACATCTTCTTGGCGTATACCCTATACAGCATCATAGGAAGTTCAACTTCATCTATTATTGTCTCCTAATAGAATTATTTTTCTACCAAAATGAATTTCTCAACGGTGTGCTCTGTGCAGGTGATATGTGGACATGTACTCTGCTAACCATGATTAGCACCACAGCCACTTAGCAACGCCTCCTTTCAGCCTCAACGAATATTGCAATGAAGAAGAACACGATAAACGGGGCTTGATATATTTTTACTTGTCCTGGAGAAGATACAGTAACATACAGCTTTCATATACTAGTATATTAGCTTGCTATTAATTGTCGATACCAATAAGCTGTGGAAATTGTTAACATTTCATCGGGATCATCATAAAATAATATTTTTTGTGCATTATTTGACTAGATAAAGTAACTGGTGAATCGTTGTTCTTTCAGGATGTCGGCTGGTAGAGGAAGGCGTCTTGGCTCTCCTCAGCGCGACGGGATGCCGGTCATTATTGGTGATCAATAGTGTGAGCGCCACCTTGCGGATTCCCCATGTCGCCACACCCGTCAGGTCCTGTCCGGTGGGAGTGATGCCCGGTCATGAGAACAGCGCGGTTCCGTACACGTTCAACATGTGGCCCCGCCCAGAGGTGCACGCGCAGGCGCTGAGAGACATGCTCAACACCTTAACTTGGACCATGGTCACGTTTCTGTACGACCATGATGACGGTTAGCGGTTTCTATATTGTCTCGTATTTTCTATAGTAAACATGTAAAATTCAAACGCTATATTAATATATAAATAATCATTGGAACATATTGGTGACTATTGGAACATCCTCTTTTCTATGGATATTGGACTACTATCAGAAAATCTTCTTTTGTCAATGACCTGGACCAGACGTCTGTCACCATGGTAACTGATGCTGGAGATGTTCGCAGGCTGAATACCTAGCTGTCCCCATGATTCATATAAGTAAACGCTGGGGACAGAGGATTAACAAATGCAGTTGTGCGTGGAAGTAGTGTTAAATCTGCTGTTTTTCTGCCTGCAGGCCTAAATGTGATGAAGCACCTGTTGGAACTGTTAGCTGCGGACGGTAAGCCGCTGAAGGCCGTGTTCCTGAAGATCCAGTGGGAGACGGAGGAGGACCTGGGCCGAACGACTGACGAGCGTGTACGGAACCTTCTGGAACAGGGCATCAAACCCGAGTCCTTCATCGTGTACGGCCGGTCTGCTCTGGCAAGAACCATCCTGCAAAAGGTGACTACGGTGGCCCACAAGTACACACTTGCGTCCTTTGACACGCTGACGACGCAGGTGTGTACTTGTGGGCCACTGTAGGTGACGGCTACTACGTCGCTCCCTGTCTCTAACACCTCTACTCAGTAACCAGATTACATTTCAAAACTCACATATCTCCAAGTAGATTTCTGGGATTCGTGTGCAGGGGGACTCTGTAGCCTCAATTATGGTAACTCGGGTATTCTAGACCAATCGTCTCCACAAAGGAATCTACTTGGAGATTATCACATGTAATACAATGCCTGATTTCATCAATAACATTAACAGTGAAACATTCACATCAAGCAGGCAACCTAGCCTCTCTTTCAAGGTGTACTGTAGTTACATGTCATAGCTTCACTTGTGCCTGTCAAATAAGGCAAAGTGAAAAACAAATGGGAAAGCGAACTGAAATCTTCTGTCTGATGTTGTATGTAATGCTGTATGTTCCAGGCGGACAAGTACAGTTTACTGACAAGAGAAACTCAGTGGATCATTCTACAGGAGGTAACGTTGCTCTTAATTTCACCATGCTTTGCGTCCCTATTTTTAGCATAGGCTACCTTTCACAAATCAAACTTGGATTCTTTCCATACAGGTAGCATTATAGACCGTTACAGTTTTCTTACAATTACGTATACAACTTTGACAATATAGGGTTATAAATGAGCAGCGAAACATTTCACTGCAGGATTCTTCTCAATTTAGGATGCCAAGAAATAGGGCACCTACGTATAACGTCGACGTTTGCAACAGAAGTGACACATATGTGTTGAGTACATTTGCAGGTATTGATAGTTGAATATTTTCCTGTCGGTGCCTACAGGAGTCCGTCACGGTGCCAGACAATCTGATCGCCACCGGGATTGTGACGTTCTTCAGACTGGCGTTCTCTAGAGTTACATACTCACCCAACTCTCAGGTATGGTGTGGGGAGGGCTTAACCTTTATAGCAATCTTCTCTATTGATTTAAGGGTCTATCTGCATGTTTAGATATGCATAAAATATGCGAAAACATATTGTTTTTGCTCAGTTTCTTTCTCTTCTTCTGGACCAGACGTCTGTCACCATGGTAACTGGTGCTGTAGCAGACACCCTTTGGTGGCTGGGTTACATTATGTAGTAGAACATACTAGTAGTTGGATAGACTGCTCACCATACATATGCGTATTTGACTTTCAGTAAGAATAACCCGTGCAGTATTTTGTTATGTTACACCAGGTGAAGGTAACCATTATGCATTTGCTTTGCTTTGCAGACATTACCTTTCTAGTTACCAGGTTGAAATCAATGTAAATCTCCGACTGTGCACTGCCGATTGACCACTTGTCTGTTGCAGGTGCATGGGCTGTTCATGCAGGACGCCGTGTCCTTGCTGCGTGAGTCGGTGTCAGAAGCGCACGCCTCCGTAGCCTGGGCCCCCTCCTCCCCGGCCTCCTGCGGGTTCGGCCCGAACAAGGTGCTGAACGAGGACAGGAAACTCACCAGCATCCTCGCCCAGGTACGTTTGATCTCTGTTGGAAAAAAATTCAAATGTTCTTCAACTAAAAATATTGACTCGGAATTTTCGACTCATTCGGTCTTCTTCAGTTATCTGACCCAAGCCACGTGACTTAATGTGCGTATGGCGTCAGCAAAGGGTCAAAGTTTGCAAGGACGGGGGGCGGTACCGACTTCCAACAAACTTTGACCCTTGGCTGACGTCACACGTGCAATGTTTTAGATGGAGAACAGTTTATTTTTTCCATATGTAAGTTACCATGTTAACTTAGAACTTTCATGCTCATTTTATATCGGAGTTGTGTTCTTTCTTTGAAATTTCATTTCCTGTTCAACGTCTATATTTTCTTTTCTAATTACCATTTTCCATAGAGCAACACCGTGGGTCTATCCGGTCAGATCCAGTTTGACGATGCGGGGTGGAACAACTCGTCCAGATGGGAAATCATCAACGTGGAGTTCATGGCCAAGAACGGGACAGAGGCGCACCAGGTCAGTCCATGGTCACCATGTAGGCATTGTCAAGTCTAGGGCTCTTGGCATATTTACGATACAAAGGCCTTTATGCATGGGGCTAAGAGACTAAAACGTTTCTCTTCTTCACAAGTTCCGAAGAGAACCCCACTTTCTGTCTACGCACAGATAACACAACAAGGTATAGGGTAGTGCGCACCGACACGAACAAGCTAGGTGTGGAAGCACGAATGACCGGGGGAAGGGAGACGGGATGGGGGAATGGGATTAATTAGAGGGGGAGTGGCTACAGTACCATCTGTGCGCCGACAGAAAGTGGAAATTATATACTGTGTCTTTTTTAACGTACAGACATGTCTATTGAATTATTAGCATTGCATCCAAACCTATTATAGCTTGCGAGTCTCTTTTTTTATTCCAATATGTACTCACAAGACGTGGTGACGACACACAAGTGTTAAACAGTATCTATGAGAATTAATGTCACGAAATTTGACATCTTACAACTATGCAATACTTTTGAACTGTACTTCTCCAGATCGGGAGCTGGGACGCTGAGGGCGGGCTCCAGCTGAAGGAGCCGCTGTTCACCCGGCATGCCATCACGGACAGGCTGCTCAGGGTGTCCGTGGTCGTGGTGAGACCGTCTTGTCTTTCACGACCTGGTCCACGCATTGATAATCACTCGTAGTTCAAAATGAGTCTGGTGATCAATACATCATATCACAATGTCACATGCCACATATGTCCCAATAGACCACTACAAAAATACATGAAATTAAAAAAAGAATGATTATGTTGACCGAAGGAAAACATATTGTTTTTGCTCTGTTTCCTTTTCTTCTTCTCCAAACCAATAAGGTCAATGACCTGAACCAGATGTCTGTTACCATGGTAACTAGTGTTGGGTTACATCATGTTGCAGTTTTATAGCAGGAGAGATCTACATGTGTGTATATGAATGTGTTTGAGACCATATGCAAATATGCAAAAAAGACCACATGCAAAAGTATTACCTTTATATCAGACGTACATTTTCCTCCCCAGGAAGAGCCGTTCGTCATGAAACGTCAGACTCCGTCCGGCCCGGTGTTTTATGGCTTCTGTATCGACATCCTGGACCAGATGGCTAAAGAGCACAAGTTCCGCTATGACATCTACGAAACTCCGGACAGGAAGTTCGGCATACAGCTCGAAAACGGCAGCTGGAACGGAGTCATAGGGCAGGTGCTGTCTAGGGTAAGCTCTCCCTTGAACAACATCTCTCGGTAGTGTGTCTACATGCGCCGTCTTGCGGTTTTGCCAACGACTGTCGAATTTTCATCAGCACAAAATGCGAAAAGGATGAAACGGCAGCAACAGTTTTTACACAAACTATACGGAGCGGGATTAGTTTCAAAAATTCACGCTGCGTAAATTGCTTTGAAGGCCAATATTTCCTCTTAGACCTTTTCCGCAAACCGCACTTAAAGTTTGAAATAACGTAACAAGTTTTCAATATGTGACCTTTCTTTCATTCAGCACGCAGACATCGCCGCGACCGACCTGGTCATCTCCGCCGCGCGGGAGGAAGTGGTGGACTTCACCAAGCCGTACCTGGACTACGGCGTGCGGCTGATCCTGAGGAAGCCGGCGGATAAGGAGCAGAACTGGTGGGGCTTCCTGGCGCCGCTGGACGGCACGGTGTGGTGGTCCATCCTCGGGGCCGTGTTCGGCGTCTCCGTGCTGCTGTACCTGCTCCACAGGTAGGGGGCGTGACGCCACAGCTTTCAAATGTTGATTTTGAGCTTCGGCCATGTTGGTGGAATGGATGGATCCGTGATGGCCACTGATCATTCGGCGTGTACACTCTATGATTAGTAGCTTATTTGGTTCTTTTGGTATCCCTTTTTAGTACCAAACATTATTGTTTTTCAAAAGCGTGTCAAAGCGTGCTAGCATTTACATGGGGTATGGACTGCCACTGGTAGAAAAGCCTATCCCATTTTATCGCCTGGAGTTTCACCATTCACCAACAAAAAATGCAATGCATGGATACTACTATCGGTCAGACATGTACTACAGGAGCAGTGTGCATGGATGCATTAGCTATAGTAGCTTTAATAATGATTATAGGTAGAGGAAATGATTGTTTACCTTTTAGAAAATATCTCACCCAATTGCATACCTAATTATATCTTTGTCAAGACAAACAGGAGTTATTTCTGTGTACATGGTGCCAATACATTCCTAACCATGCATCCATGTTCTGATCAGGTACAGCCCGTACGGCTCCTACAAGCAGCATCACGGACCAGATAAGCACCATTCTGACCTGAAGGAGACAGTCTGGTTCATCGTAGGATCACTCATGCAACAAGGTACTGTTATAGTTACTGTGGTAATATAACAGAAAGAAAATGATCGTGGTCAGTGGCGCCACCTGGAGTATCGATACGGTACTACAGTATGTGTGAAGTCGTGTAGACTTTGAGGAACTGCAGCTTCAAGCATTACTACAGGAACAATGCTTAGCTTCTCTGGCCAGAACGTGTTGGCTGCAGGGCTTTCTGTGTATAAAATTAATCGCCAGGATCTTAGACCCTGTCCCCAAAACATCATGTCTTCACTTTAGATTTGATTATAGAACGTTCGTCTTATCAAATAATTTGCCCTTCCTATAGGTGGCGAACCTATCCAAAACTTCATCTCAGGCCGCATCCTGAGCACGTTCTGGTGGTTCTTCGTGCTCATCATCATCGCCACCTACACGGCCAACTTGGCGGCCTTCCTCACCGTGTCCCGCATGGACATCCCGGTCCGCTCCGTACAGGACCTGGCTCAGCAGGTCAAGATCAAGTACGGCACGGTCAGGGACAGCAACCTGCAGTCGTTCTTCAGGTAACGATGCATTGTTGTTGTGTCCCAAACCGTGCCTGTCCCAAACCGTGCCTGGGCGAGCACAGAACGAGACACAGCCTGACTGTCCCGAACCATGCCCCGGAAGTGCTGTCAATCGTAGTGACTGGCGGTACCAGGCACAGTTTGGGACAAGGCCATCGCGTGTCCCGAACTGTGGTCAGTCCCTAGGCACGGTTTGGGACACGCACTGTGCTATGCCATGTTGTGCTGTGCCATGTGATGTTATATATGCTGCGTTGCGTAGGGTTGTAGTACGTTGTGCGCATGGGCTATGTTGTGCTGTGTTGACTTTGATTGTGTTGTGCTATGTTGACATTGTGCTGTGCTGTGTTGTTATGTCGTGCTGCGTTGCATTACTTGCCATTACTGTTGAGTTGCGTTGTTGGTTACGTTCCTTTTTGTTGTGTTGACGTTGTGCAGAAGTTTAAACGTATAGATGTTGTGTAGTGTATTACGTGTCATATCAGGTCCCGGTCGCACGAGGGCGGCATGTACGAGCGTATGTGGAACTTCATGGTGGGATCGGAGCCCTCTGCCTTCGTGGATAGCACAGTGGAGGGGCTGGAGAGGGTCCAGAATGAGGACTACGCCTTCCTGTGGGACACGGCCGTGCTGGAGTACGAGAAGAACCGGAATTGTGAGCTGATTATTGTGGGAGATCCGTTCTACAAGGGCGGCTACGGCTTCGCTATGCCACGTGGTGCCCCCTACAGGGACGACCTGTCCATGACGTAAGTATGACGTCATCAATGCGGTGCACAGGCATGCCAACGTTCCCAGGGGACGGGGTATTACGTCATCAAAGATGGCGTACAGGCATGCAATCGTTCCCAGGGGATGATGGAATTACGTCATCAATGATAGCGTACAGACATGTAATCGTTCCCAGGGGACGGAGGAATTACGTCATCAATAATGGCACACAGACATGCGAACGTTCCCAGGGGACATATACATCGACGTCATTTTATATGTCAGCAGACATGCAGACGTTCCCTGGGGTAGAAATTTAACGTGATTCCTTGTACCCTGCATATCAAAGTAACCAGTAGGAAAAGTACTTTCTCTCTTTGATGGTTTCGTTTCTTTTAACATGAACCAAGCATACAGTAAAGCTCAAATAAATTTTCTAAATGGGGAATAATGATATCACTCCTTTTTTCAGTATTATCCATATACAATTGCAACAGTTGCGTTGTTTTCTCATACCTTGATATTTTATTTAAATCATGCTATTAAACTTATACATTCAACTATAAAGTAAACAAATCGACCTTTCCAGACTGCAAGCATCTGTGGGTTCAACACCTTCAATTCAGTTGCTCAGTTGCCTACAGCGATGTTTTTTTTTTATTGTTGAAGGTCCATGTGCCTTTGGTGCTTCGTCGTTTTCGATCACACACTCTTAGTCTTAGGATCTACAGACATGTGCGTTATCAGAAGAACTTTATTGCACGACAATATTGTACCTGGTGTTATCTGTGTGACCTTCTGTTCTCATACCCAGGATCCTGCGGATGCAGGGCAGTGGTCACATAGAGAAGCTCCAGACAAAATGGTGGACCACCAACAGCACGTGCTCAGACGAGGAGGCCACCGTGGTGGAGACTACAAAGGTATGAACTGTTGTACAAAACCCTACCTATCCAGCTCTAACGTTATGCCTGAATGGGTTATAAGCTAAGGGTTTGGATCAGGCACAGTTGGCATAGTCCTGGTGTGTTCAGAACCGCGCCTAGGGCAAAGTCATGTTCTTGGATACGCGAGGTTATCCAGAACCGTGCCTGATCCAAACCCTTATAACCCATTCAGGCATAGAGCTAGATAGGCATGGTTCTGGATAGAACATGGACATATCTTTTCCTCTCTAGGTTCTTCTCAACGACTGGACGTGTACTTAGTCCAAAATGGGCAAGTTCTATATACACCATATGGCTAGTCCTTGTCGTGTTGACAAGCATTGATACTCCTATATAAAGAAATTGAGGCTTGTAACAGTAACTGTTACAAATGGCTAAGTAGCTGTATGCATCTTTAGAACGAAAACATTGGGATGTATTTTTCACACGCGGCACTATATTACAAGCAGCACTATATTATGTCCCCTGCAGGTGGAGTTTGTGGGGATGGCGGGCGTGTTTGCTGTACTGTTGATGGGGTGTGCCCTGTCCATCATCGCGCTACTGCTGGAGCTGGCCTGGCACGTCTTCACCACAACTACCAAACCCCGCGACACCCAGGACAGACGCAGTCCGGCAGAAATCCCGCCACCACAGCTGCCGAACGGGGACCTCTTCGTCTGAGCACGGAGGGCACCAGGTAGCATCAACAGCAGGCTTTTACGGTGGGGGCGTGTGGCTTTTCAAGAGTTAGTGGCTTCTACTGTGCTATCCACGAAGGCAGAAAGTACGATCAACACTTTAAAACCTAGTGAAGTTTGAGCCGCTTTAAAACCGTAAGAGTTAGTGGCTTACCAAAAAAAAAGCAGCCAGCAGTTTGAAGTTGTTAATACTGTATGGCTATGTGCAGTTTTTCTGATTGTAGGCCTTGCTTTTTATGCTGTAACCGGCTACACATTTACCGTATAGGCCTGTTCATCGAGGCTATTCATTGGGGCTTCAAATACTCCCAGTGTTAATGTAAGACTAGCGCAGATTTGTAAATCTACAGGTTTTCTGTCATCCTGTGCTTAATCTGTGATACACCCTCTCATCGCTTCTACAAAACCCGGTCTGTTGTATCAGTGCTTGATCACTGAATGGCGTAGAATTATTCCCCTGCTTTAATTCAGTCACTTCAACGGAATGTGTTAGCTTGTAGAATTTAGGTCAACCGCAGAATGGCTCTCCAGATCTCCTTGGGAAGCCCGGCAGGACGAATACATTCTGATCTCTTAGCTGATGTTCCGCCTGGTATCTGTCCTTGGTGCTGAAGTACACATCTCATTCTAATCCACTCAATTCGTGTTGCAACTGCTTGTCTCACCAGATATAAGTGTACGTTTGTACAGATAAATTCACATACATGTATTTGGTATATCACATAGCTGTGTATACAGTAACATAAGGCTAGAAGGGTCTATTTATAAGATTGTATTACATTTTGTATTCTGTAATTGGAACTAGATAAAAGTATATAACGCAAGAATTCCGCAACTTATTGAAAGCGGGTAAGAAACATCTGGATGTTTGATGTGATATATATTTACTATGCCTGCTAAAAGAGAAATTACGTATAGGCGTGGAACGGTATCTTTTATAATAAGGGTAAAGAGTACATTAAAACCGTTACCACAGAATATCTTTATCTGTGAAATAAGAAAATTGAATAAAACATTTCAAACGTCGTTTAGTGTGGCTGGTTGTGTTCATTGCTTCTTGAATCTTTTACTTGATGAAAAAGATACCCTGTCCCCCCTCTGGATGTTTGAGATGGGCTGATCTTGACGTAAACGTGGCCCAAACCTAGTTCACAGCGCCAGATGACGTCAAAGGTTCAAGGCTGTGGGGCCGCAGGGTCTGAGCGGGAGGGGCGGAAAGTAACGGAATATTCACAGAAAAAAAAGGCAAAATAGCGCGCCTGTGTTGTTTTGCTAAATCGTACCAAATTGTGTACAACAATGGTAACACGAAGAGTGAACACAATAACGACACAGGTACGTATGAAAAATGATAATGCCATGTTAAAGGTCAAACATTGCCACAAGGGTAAACTTAGTAGGTGAGTATCTGACTGTAAAATGCTAAAATCCCCGTTCGGCTTATTTGACGTGATCTTAAAAACAAAGCGAACGAGAACGGAACAAACGTTTTTTTTTTTCTTCAGCTGAAATGTCTACAGTGTATCATGTTGCGGTGAACACGACAGAATCCCCTTACGAAGTAATCGCGGCATCGACCTAGTTGTCTCCTCAACTGCATCGCCTTACGCACGATCGCGCGGTGCAACGGCCTTTTGTATTTATTATATTTCACTGACGCATTTTCCTTCTCTACAGATGTCGAATATCCGGTGGAAAATCACTGTTTTATTGACATTTCGAGATGGAACAAGTAGTAATAAAAGGGGACGGCGATTAATTTTTACAGGGGAAATTTGCCATCCTTGTCTGGGAGCAATTCGTCAATATTTGACTAATTGGTCTCAAAGCGATTCACCTGTATGTGCCGTGTGAGCACTCATAAACCCAGGGGTAGTCGCAAAACTTCTTCTTCTTCTTCCAAGTGATATTCCAGGAAAGCTAAGCAATGCCGCTGATATGATCACAAGGTTTAAGTGGCTCAGAATGGGTCCATGTTATGCTTAAAGATTTATATGAATATTTTGTGGGATACTATAAGGGTAGTCATTTATAAATTTACTATATTCATAGTTATAGCTTTCCACATGTGGCTTATACAGCGAAACAAATGAAATTTCGTCTACACACGTGCACGCGGCAGGGGGCTCGTTTGAAACACCCCCTTCTCCCATCGCTATAATGAAGACCTCGTTGCTGGGTAATCCAACTGGCGGCCTGCCACGTCTGACGTCACGCTGACGTCATCAGGCCACCGAATCTGTCAATCTCGCCAACAGGCCCTCAGAGAGTCGGCCGTTCACTGCACAACGGTGCGCTAAATATCGACTCCTCAGCTCCGAATCAGCCGGAGCCGACATGGCCGCGGCCAGAATTAGAAACCTTGTCAAAAGAGATGATGCACGTCGAGGCGGTCAGGGCTCTTTTGACGTAATCTGTCATGACGTCAATTCCATCCTAATTGCTCATTATTTATGCAAATGACTAAGGGAACATACAATGTTCATGACGAAAATAAATAAAAAAACGACTTACATCACAATAAATGGCTTGTGACGTCTTACGTTTGAATTGCAGCTCTGCCTCTGTATTTTATCCTCGCTGTTTTCTTGAGTTGATTCAGAGAAGAGGGTGAAGAAACTAGGGCACCAGCAGGTGGTAAGTCCATGGAATCTGTAACATGGATGGAATTCAGATGTGAGAGAAGCTCAAACATTCGGATAATGCCGATTTACGCACGCGATTTAGACTGTGTAGTTAATACACTAGTACAACACTGTTCATTTGGAAAGACATCACAATTTGGAGTCTAGTCTCTAACCACATGCAGTATAATAGAATTCAAGATTCCAATAACAAAATACGAGCAAATCGATTGTAGCCCCAGTGCCAAGTCAGAAAATAAGACCTTGAACTTCAACCATGATTTTCTCATTAAAAGAACCAGTTTTATAGTTGAACGTTATGCGCTATCAGTACTTTTGCCGCTGTAGGTGAACTGGGAAACAGTTATTACTCGTAAAGTGAATGACAATCCAAAATTCCTTGGTTGTAATATTATCCGTCGATTTATCTGTTTATTGGTTTGACTGGCGTACGTGCAGCCAAGGCTACCAAACTAGCCACGGGCTATTATATCATAGATCGTTAGAACGTTCTTGTTTGATCAATATCTTGACGTTTATACGTTTCGCAAATGTTTTCACGATGGCTTTGTGTCAGACTGAAGATTCTAATCGCCTGGAGAAAAGGGATTATGTCACTTCTCTCCTCCACGGGGTTTCAATCATTCTCCAAGTGCGTCAGGTCTAGCCGTTAGGCCTATAGGCCGGGCTGGGTCTTTACAGCTAAACACTGTTACTCGCACCCAACATTCGATATCCACCAAAAACGCGTGCGTCAACCCAAAGTTTAAACACGGTTTAGAGTTTCTGTTGATTTCGTCATCTGGGGCGTCAGTGCAGAAGCTCGGAAATGGTACTTAACGGTTTGTTACGACAGAGGCGCCCGGCCTCCTCCTAACCTACGTAACGTAACGTCCTGACGTAATCCGGGGAGACGCTATTTGTTGTTATTTGTCTTGCCCGTTTCTTGGCACGTTCGGCGCACCATCCGTGTGATTACGTTTGTTTTGCACATCGATGATGTATTCCTGTCAATAATGGGAAACCGTTTGGTAAACATTTGGATACAACAACAAAGGAGACATGATATTTTTTAAAAATCTAAATATCAGATTTCAATATGATTTGTTAAAATCATTATTATGAACTTCGCCATAGTAATCATTACATCATCTGTCACCATTCATCAAATGTAGTTGAACATGATTCTATCTGATTATGGGTAATGATAAAAGTCTATATTAGATATAAGATATACATTGTATTACCTATACAATTGCCTTTCATTCATGTGTTAATTCTAACCAGTTTATCATTTACATGAAGCAGTAAGGCATATATTGTGCACTTGTCAATATAAAACCGGGGGTGGGGCGCTTGGTTGAATTCGTCAAATTTCCATCATTGGGCTGGGGCAAGTTGCTACGTCTCCTTTAAATTTTGACGCTGACAGTGGTCGGCTGAAATTCTTCCCCCCACCAGTCGACATTATAGTTACCTCCAGTCGTTGTTTACATGTAGATATGATAGAACTTTACACAGAGACAAAGATTTGCCAGGAGACGTATCCAGCCACAGAATGTGTAAGCTCGAGGCCGCGGTCGTCCTTTGGCCGGCTCATTCCTTTTCACCCCATTTTGGCTAGTTCTGTAAGTGATAAAATGAGTGTTCTCGTGTATCTGTAAATGCATATACATGCCCGTAGACAGGATTTTGCTTTGAAGGGTCCTTACTGAATGAGTTACCAGCGAGCGCCGGCGTGAGTTTCCTTAGTAGGGGGGTCCGGGGGGCATGCTCAACCGTAAAATTTTAAAAATTGAACCCTCTGAAATGACATTTCCTGCGTTTCTAAGAGGATCTTAAAGGGAAAATCATAGATCACTTTTTATTCAATGACAAAGTAAGCAGTTTTTCTAGGATTCCAACCCCACCGGTAATACAAATAAGCCTACCATTTAAAGAAAAATCTTGGACCTTTAGATAAAAAGTGGACCTTTGAGCCTTGTGTGTGTATGTGTGTGTGGGTTCTTCCGGACCCCCCCCTGGCTACGGGTATGATATACTAGATAATTCTGTCTCAGGATACCGTGAAGCACGGGGGTGGGGAGGGCCGGGGGTTGAGGAATCCTTGCTCCTCTCGCGGCGATCGATTCCCGCCCGTTTTAATCACCCTCCTCCCCAGCAGGAGTCCATCACGTGATGGCGGCGTGATGTCAGGCGCGCCTACAGATCCATCACGCGGGGAACCACGTAATGTGCTGCGCGCCGCCTGCCTGACGTAAAGTGGACGACGCCATTAGGGCCTCCACAGTTAGGAAGGTCACGGGATTTGAACCACTGACGTGGTTTTCCTGGGAAACCGCACGGAATATAAGAAGTCGTGCCAGGATTTTTCTTCCCCAAAGCGATCACAAGATCGCGGAAAATCGCTCCACACGCACACCACATTCGTAATGGCGCAATGAGTCCTTCGGTAACTGTAGATATCGCACCGTTTACCGCGCTGCAACGTCAAGTGAGAGGCCTCGGGCGCACCGGTTGTCGCATCATGACCGCAGAAATGTCTTCTATTGGACAGAAGAGGGTCATCGACCTGGAGTCGCGTGTAAAGGATTTTTATGTGTTGGACGGGAAGACGGAGACATTGTGGATTACTACTGTACACAGCACTACGGCGTGAGATGGTCCGGAGAACTTAGACTTGGTGGAGAAGAATTCTCTCCGTAAACAGGTAGGTGTTTAGTTAAGATTATGCGATCTTCGCGGTGATGTCTTTCCTTCTGCGGGTACAACATCATGGCTGTATGTAAGCACGCCAAGGCCGTCCTATATCCTCAACAATCATACGCAAGGCGGCTGAGCTGGACATATATACTTTATATTGTATAAATATGCTGTATGATTAAAATTAAATTTAAAAGAAGCAGATAGAGTATGAAATTACGGAGTATCCTTAGAGATCATGGACTGATAGCAAATTATGAACTGATAAAAAGATTCATTAATCTAAGAGAGAATAATTATCATCTCCTTTTCATTTTTAATGATGAAAAAACTTAAAAGGTTAAAACATTCAAGAATAGTCATCAATGTCGTAAACTTGGATGTGCCAATTTTCCATTTTTAAGTACCACGAAGACAAGTTATTAGGCAGGCATTTTCTTTTGGATGTTCTCACGACCGTATACGCATATAGAAGATGATGCGCAAAATCTTAAACCACATACTTACGGACCTAAGGGTTCGGACGGACGTACCGCTTGTTTACGTCACACATGATGCAACTGTCTTAGCCTGGCCGTTTACCCGCTTTAGGCGCATGTCCGTGTTTTTGGTGAGAGGGAATTTACATTGAATAGCTATAACTATGTTCATTGTACATGTCTGCTTTTTAAAAGTGGAAACGATCCCTAT